TTGTGCTCCTGGATTGAAGAAGCTGTTCAGCTGTGTGGTTCCCTTGAGCCCTCTCAGTTAGTCTCCAGCCCCCTGCCCTCCTGGGGGTCCTCCTCGTTGTCTGCTACCTGAAGCCCACCTGACCAGCATTGTTCCAGCTGGGAAACAAAGCCACTGCCGCAGGTGCTTGGAATAAAAGACACGTCTATCTCTTATCTTCTTATCTGTAATTCCCTGTTGCTCATGCGGGGGCCATGCTTGCCTGCGTTTAGCAAACATTGACATCAGCAGTACATGCGGCCCGGGCTTGTGTGCATGTAGAAGCTTTACACATCTATATAGACTGTACACACGCGGAGGGAAATACAGTTTTTCCAAAACCTAGATCTGCAGCACTTAATCATTTTCATTTCTTTTGTAGTGCTCTTCTTATGAAGACATTCTAAAAGACGACACAATTGAGGGAACTGGGTAATAAGCTATTAAAAAACAGCAAGAATAATTAAATGTTGTTTTCGTACACAGGGATAGAAAAAGAAATAGTACGTGAAATATAAATAAAATAGAGCTTCAACAAGAGGCAGTGCAGCTCATTTCAAATCAAATAGAAAGACAAGCAAGTACATTAAAGTATGATAATCTGTACAGGAATGATGTTGATTTAATCGGTAAATAATGGTTTCGGCACTTCTCATTAAGAATGGACATCAGTCCAGGTTTGGATTCTATGAAACACATTGGAAACGGAGAGCAGGTCACTCAGGAACGTGTCCTTACTCAGCTTGCTCCGTCCTTGCTGTTCTCATTCCTGACCCTGCCTGGTTTCTTCGCGAGCGTGTGAGGGCGCAGGGTGGCCAGAATGAGCCGGGCCACTGCTCCAGCTCTGTTCGTTTGTGCTCATCTCCCCACCCCCACTCTCCACAAACACACCTTGACAAACTCCCCCCTCCCCCTTCCCATTGTTGTAATGGATTCCCCCGGTCTGCTCCTGCGGAGAGAGCAGTGCCGCGCACAGCGCCCTTATAAATCACCCGCTCAGCCCTGCTCCCCATCCCCCCTCACCCAGAGCGCGAGCGGCGCTGGCACACCGGAGCTCCGAGCTCCGAGCTCCTGCCTGGGGCTGGGAAATCCTATTACCCTGCAAATAGGAGACAGAGGGAAGGTCACAGCATTAATTACAGCAGGGCCCCCGAACCGCCACTGCCTCGCTGAGCCCTTCACCACACATCCTTAGAGCTTCCCCTGCAGCTGCAGGAGAGCTGTGGCTCTGTGCTCAGCGCACAGTGAGCCTCCAGCTCCCTTTACAACGGAGTGGATCCGCATCATATCTTATTTCCCGATATTGTCCATATCTGATCCACAGAGAGGGCCAGCACGGGGACGTGGGTTTCCACCAGGTGCTCTGGTTGCCTTCCACAGTCCAAAGACCTGCTGGTAGGTTGGTTGGCTTCTGGGACAATGGGCCCTGGTGTGAGTGTGTGTCTTGTGTGGCCTGAGATGGTTGGCCCTGTGCTCTTAGCCTGCTGGGATAGGCTCCGGACCACTGTGATCCTGCACAGGAAAGTTGATGATGATGATGGGATAATAACAGTCTATAGTGATTAGAGATGCGTAATTCTTATGGTAGCAATTCTTGGCCTTCATGCAAGGCATGTTCTTAGACATGCTGGACTGTTAGAGAGGTTGATGCCAATGTTTCTTTCTTTCTCTCTGTTGCACACTGGGGCTTTGGGCTTCTCAAGGTCACTGGCAAATTGGTGTGGCTCTCTACACTGGAGGCTGGCTGGAAAAGTGATTTTAATGCTTTGTGGATACAACCAGAAGCACCTACCACTGACGTATCACTCAGATTCTGAGAGTCATTCACTGTCTGGGCCTCTCCTGAAAGGCATTCACAAAGTTATTCCAATGGACTGCTTCAGGATCAGTAAAAACAAGGACCTGCAGATGTTAAAATGAATGAATAGCAAGTGCTTACAGCCACAAGCTACAAAGACACAGTATTGAACCTGTTTGTCTGGAATCTTTCAGGAAGTGGCAGGACGAGAGCACTGGATCAATAATCTGCTGGGAACCAAAGAAGCATCTCTTACTTGTGACCCTACTAGTTATCGTATATATTCTCAAGCTGGCATCAAGGTTGTGTTCTGCTGTGTGTTGGTTTTATCTGAAATGCAAAAAATATTCATGCCTGAAATACATACACAATGTTCGATTGAGCTCAAAGTGAATGTGTCTTATGGTAGCTTGCATAAATTGTCCAATAACTTAATCATATCATAAGACAGTGAAGGACAGTGCAAGAGAAAAATGTACATTCGTTAAAAGACAAATATGTTTCATTGCCTCAGCAAACCAATTTTTTACAACAAATATTTACTGTTCTATCCCTTATTTATACTGATGCTCTCCATGTAGAGTATTGTTTGCCATACTACATAGGGAATACAAAGATGGTTCATTCCACAAGAGTTTGCACCTTTGATGAAATGCACTTCCAAAACCTCTGTTTGGCGGAATTCTGTCCCTAATTCCCCCGGAGAGCCAGTTTAAAGCTCTGTGGGACTCGGGAATGTCACCTTGAAGCTCCCCTGTAATGATAATCCAAAGAACACCCCTGGGACTGCAGTGGAGAGGAATGTAGCGAGAGGTGTGTTCAAGAGGCAAGGTATTGCTTAAACTCTGAGGGTATCTATCTTGTCCATGTTTGTACATTACTGCTGAGAGCAGAGCCAGGTTTTCTTCCTGGTCTTCAATGAAATGCACAAAGACCCCCCAGGGAGAGAACTGTGCAGGGCCTAGCCTGCCTCTCATTACTCTTACATTAAAACTAGTCATGGGGAAAATTGCTACAACCCCCCACACACACACCAGAGGACCACCTGGTTATAGCAGGAGGAAACAATGTGTGTATCTGGCAAGGGTATGGTACAGAACCTTTATACTACCACGGTACCAAATCAGATAACTTATGGACTTTGTTAATAGTGCTGACACATTGCAAAAATCATGCACAAAGCAAGAAACCCAAAAATGCTAATTAAAAATCTATTTTATAGCTTTACAGCACAGACAAACCAGAGCACAGATGTTCGTAATTGAGGATGCTTTGTTTTTAAATTTGCTGCATGTGATACAGCACGATTATATGATATAGCTTATGGGCAGTCATGCATGAAAATGCATAAATGTATTATTAAAAAAACAAAGTCTAATTTATTTGTTTAGGTAAGAGTGTACTATCATACTATACAAATAGGAAAAATACACAAGTTTAAAAAGGTAGTGTCCCTAGGGTTTTGACTATCAGACTCAACATAGCATTGCAATAACTAACTGCACCATGCTAAAATGTTAAGATTTCTTTATTGTTTGATGGACTTCAATTACTGTCACAGCATAGTATGATGTGAAGAACTGGGTATGACGAGGAAATGCATCAAAGTACCAGGTTCTTGTTTCCAAAACATCTGCAGTGACAGCAACATAAAAAAGGCTGATACTCAGCATAACAAAAAGAAGATGTTTCTGTTTCAGTCATCTGGAGGACGATGAAGTTAGGCCTTTGTGAAGATATGTGCAAAACTTGAGCTGGTAAAAGAATGACTCAGAGGCTCAGGGAGGATTTCCAAGAGCCCAGAGTTGCTTGCAGATGATGTTAAACACAAAGTCCTCCAAGACTGATCAGATCAGGGTTGAGTGTTACAGCATGGAGCTACAGCTGAGCTGCACTGTGGCCTCACAGCAGTCACTGGAAGGTCTGCAAGACATCTCCACTCATCCACTTATCTGAAGAAAGTGTTTAAGGTACTGCAAGTATAATAATAAAATAATAATAAAATAATAATAATAATAATTATGATGATGATGATGATGATGATGATGATTATTATTATTATTTATTGTTCAAGTAGGAAAATAAAACCCCAGGACACAGTGTGTAGTAATAAAGAAAAGACAAAATAGTACAATAAAAAGAAAAGAATTAACTTGAACCATCATACAGGACAGAATGCAGGGCAATTGGACATAGGCCCTGGTAAAAAGGTGAGTTTGTAAGTTCTGGTTTACAGAGAGCCAAAGAATTGGTCTCTTGAAGAGTCGGAGGAAGAGCAGTCCATAACAAAGGAGCAGAGACAGGAAAAGCACAGCCATCAAAAGTCCAGGATTTAGTCCTGGGCACAGAGAGCAAAGGCCCTGCCTGGCTGAATGGTGCCTTGGAGAGGGAGTGTGAGTGTAAAGGAGCTCACTGATGTGTGATTGAGCCAGATAATTCACAGAGTAAAGTCAGTAACAACATCTTGTATTGAATCTGTGGCTTTACAGACAACCAATGTGGAGACTGAAGAGTAGGAGTGATATGCTGCCAGTGTCTGCTGTGAGCAGCGCAGCTACAGAGGTTTGGACATACTGCATGTTGTTGAGAAGAGAGGGAGAAGTTAGGGAGCCCATAGAGTACAGAGTTGCAGAATCAGCTACTCAGCTTCGGAAACTGAAGAAATTGGAAACTGCCTAATGCAGGCAAGATTTCTCAGATGAGAAAAAGACATCTTCATCAGATTTTTCACATGGGCCTCAAGAGAAAGGAGAGGATCAAGTGTGACTCCCAGATTCCTGACTATGGCAACTCAGGAATGGGGAAGCCATCAGCCATAACTGTGGAGCTCCCCAGCTTTTCCAGCCGACATTTGCTGCCCATCAATACAATTTCTGCTGTGTTGCTATCTAGCTTCAGCGAATGTGCTGATACACTACCAGAGCACCAGAAGAGATTTTGAGCAAGCCTCACAGACCAGACAAGTGCACAAGGACATGAGGAGCACTGGGTCACTGCCTCTTCACGCCCTGTTCCTCTGACCTGCCACACGGTGGCGCTGGAGAGCGTGATCAGCAATGGCCATAGCAATCTGCACACGCAGACCTGGGTTTTGACACACTTTCCAGGGTGCTAATCGACACCCCAGTAAAGAAAGACAGAGCAAAGTTGACAATCAAAAGAAGAGCTTGGTGTAAGGCTTAACTAAAACATTTTTTTATTATTGTTATTCACATTGAAACAACAGAAACAGCAACATGTATTCATCTGCCTGCACTGGCAGACGGATCCCTGCCCCCACCCCCGACATCTCACTCCAGCCCACTCAGGCTTCACACGATACATAAGAGCTCCCAACAAAAGGCATACATCTCGTCTGGCTTCCATACGGAGTACGCAATCCAGGAGCAATCGATTTCCAGCAATTAGGAAAAATATAGATTATATATATATGTACATACAAACTCTCTGAAGGACATAGTTTACAAAATTTGTGATGAGACAAAAATTCAGGATATTCTTGTTTGCAGACATGAGAACAATGGTGAATCCGGTCAAAAAAAAGAAAAGAAAGCGATCTACTGATGTTTTCACACATTCACATGAGAAAGATGAGAAAATCCATGTCTACCCCTCTCTTGCTTTGTGTATTAGTAGCACACCCGAAATGTCCTGGAGATGGATTTCGAGAGCACAACAGAATTAGACTGATCCTGTTTGAAGTTTTATTCAAATGTGATCTTCTTATTAATTAACTTTGGATGAATTGAATTCACATTCTCTGGTGACTATTTTATATTATAAACAAAGTATTCCAAATCAGATGATGTGCTAACAACACAAGTTGTATACTTACATGCACTTTTGTTCTCACTAAACAGAACCTTTCTTAAAAACACCCAACTGAAAATGAGTTATTTATTCCTTATTTTCAGTAAGCAGTTATGTTCAGCCATGCATCAGAGACTACTCTTGTTTAACCTTCTGACTTTACACAGCTTCTCCAACAGATGGCAAAGTGGAGCCTTTTCTCAGCACTCAGCTGCATGGCTGAGTCACATATGTTGCTGTTTATTGTTTTTTTTTCATAGATTTTCTGGGTTGGGGTGGAAAAAAACACACCATTCACCAAGAAGGCCTCAGCTGTTGTAGGGAATCGTCAATAATGGATTCAATGTTCTCTCCTTATGTTTTTCTTTAAAGCAAAAGCAGTGAAAATGGAGGTCAATAGGTACAAAACGAAATGAAGCAAGTATTTTAGAACCTCCTGTAGCATCCGGAGAACGGACACTGGGGACACGATCCTGTCTACGGAAAATACTTTTTTTAAAAGACTCGCCCTGCTCACTCCCTGCAGCTACAACACATTCTGTGAACCTGACCTAAAACCGCAAAGGTCCTATTTCACCCTCAAGTCCTTCTCAAAGAGGACACTCGCCACCAGTTGGGGACAAAATACAGCCACACATAAAGTGTTGGGGAAAATACTTTGATCTGTCTCAAGTCATCTCATGCCTGAAGATACAGTGTTCAGCAATTTCATTATTAAAGCCATGTTTGTTTTAACAGCTTGGTTTACATTTTCCACAGAGTGTACACCTACATATTTTCTGCAGGTTCTGGAAGTATAGGCAGTGTGGAACCCACTGAACAAACACCCTGGCTTTGTTCAAGAACTGGCTGCAGTTCCTTGGATCAGTGAACTATGAAGAAGGGTAAGATGGGGTGAACGGTCTCCTCTTGTCTGTAACCTCCCTTATTTTATTATGGATGAAAAAGAGGATTTAAAAAAATGTTTTAACACAATATACCAGGGGTGACCAAATCTAATCCTCAAGAGACACAGTCCAGCATATGTTATGGGTGAATCATCTAGTTTTATAAAACTGAAAAATCATCTATTTCTATAGAATGATTTCATTTTGTGAACAGATCCATGTGATTTCTTCAATTAAATTGTTTAGGGATCATTTGATGTGAAATACAAATATCCAGCTCACAGTTTGCCATTGCTAATTGAATTGAACCAATTAACCTGGTAATTGATAAATAATCAAAACTCACATGTGTTCCAATCTTTAGAAATTGATGTCTTCAGGGTGACCTATGAGACCTGCTGGACTGTGGCTCTTTAGGACCAAGGTTGGCTCACACATATTATGTACCACGTAAAACAAGAATAACAATTAAAGTTAATGCTCAGCATTATCATATAGACGCCCAAAATGTATTGCTTGATCTTCTGGAAATAAATCATGGGAAAAGTAATACAGGAATATAACATGGTCATTCATGAATAAGTAATCTAATAAGAAAAGCAATCTTCCATTAATGCTAGCATTAGTACTAATTCTTAACATAATTCTTACTTAATTCTTCAACATTGAAGAGTTTTTTTTTATATTCCCTCCTTAGTAACTTCATGAAAGCAAATCAAGAACAGATGACAGTTTAAAAATAAATTTGCTTCTTCTTCTGAAACAAGTGATTTAAAAACCTTATTCAAGGAAAAATTAAAGCTTTCCTAAAGCTCAAATGTTGGTCAATCTAAAATTCTGAAATCTCTGCTTTAATAGAAAACTGGTAATAAGATGATCTGACTATCGGGTAAAATAAAACCTTAAATAATACTTATGGATTCTATGACTTTTATTTGGTATTTGGTGAGTGATCAGGACCAGAAATAGAAAGATATTTTACCCCTTCATGCCCCTGGAGCAGCAGGGGTTGTGGTGAAGGAGCACTTGGGACAAATGGCCTGGTCATTATTGTACAAGAATAATGACCTTCCTAAGAAGGAACAGAGAATCCATTACTGCATCATGTACTTCAAAAATAGTGACAAGTCAACAGTTTATGTCCAGAATACAGCTAGAGTGTTATATTGTAATTCCTCACCTACCGGTGTTGATTAGTCTTCCCTGCTGAACCCATAGATCTACATTATATCTGGAGTAGTTCATTTCTCTACTTAGTGAATTGAGTGACCCCAATAATCATCTGCACCCCAAGTTCCATTACTAAGATTGGAGTCATTGATTGGAGGTAGCAAAGAATACCACATACAGTATATGATTGATGTTTGAACCAAGAAACTTGTTAATTGATCACAGCACATTGGGCATATAAAGAGTAATTTACGTTTATCAGTGTTATTCTGTGACTCCTCAATAATTCTTAAACAGTGAAAATACAATAGCTTCAGTAAATACAGGCAAAACGGGGTTGTACCAAGATCCATAATATAAGATCACAGTATTAAATGAAGTCTCAACCATGAGAGTCCTATGCATGTCTGTTTAAAAAGCCACAATTTGCCTAGTGAGAGAGGTGCTCATGAGTCTAAACACATTCCTTTTCCACCATGCTGTACATTGCGAACAGCCAAATAAAAACAATGCATCTCACAGATTTTGTTATCAGTTTATTATGTTTACTAAAAATTCCTGACTTTGCTGGGGTGCCACAGGGTAATTTGAGTGTGTGCAGGTGCAGTACAACTGCAGACATTTTCTTTCATTTTTCAAACCAGGCTGTACATGTAATTGTGTGATTGATCCAGCTTTCTTCCTATCTGGAATCTTTTCTGTGTCTTAAACACTGAGCCATTGCTAAGGTTGTTCCCACTAACAACACATTTCTACAATCCAACAGAACACTCTTTGGACTTGTCAGTCATTTCTTTCTTTCACTTTTTATGCAACCTATTGTCTTTTATTTATTTTTGTCTAAGTATTTCAAATGCATCAGTAGATCAGACAAACAAATCCTACAGTACAGTTAGGATTGTTGTGACAAATATAATCCTTTTCACGTAGCTTATATATATATATTTGTTGGATAACTGTCAATTGAATTCAAAGGGATTTCTGATTTTTTTTTAAATGGGAATCGGAAAGAGGAAAACACTGGTACAAATCAAACGTAAGAAAGAAATATCACGATAGCCTCCTCCACCAACCAAGCTGGCAGATAATGTGTTAAAATTATCTTGCATGTTAGAAAAACAAGTAAAGCAGTAAAATATAAGTCCTTAGATTCCAAGGCTGAATGTCAGCTGATCTTCAGGGTTTTTGGTGAATTGCTACTAGGAATCATTTAATTTGACAATCTGTGTTGGCACAAACTCTCTGATCAAAGTGGAAGAGCCATGAATATAAGTTTTGTTCCTGTCCTTGCTTCTGTATGGATCAGGTGTGGAGCAGGAGGGGCATTCATGAACACGGAGGGGTGGAAAATCAAGAGGCTGATAAAAGAAAGTACTTTTCTTCAGTCATCTTCTATGTGACACTATAAAGAGCCTTGCATTTGTCTTGTGTTGAGGCTTTTCAGTAACACAAAAGGGAGACACAAAACAGTACTTTGAGATACTGAAGATGAAAAAATATTGGCATTGGTACAGTGTGTTTTTCTTAATATTGAAGGTGTGATGTCAAAATATCAACGCAATGCAGACAAAATCAAACACTTCAAAAACAAAAGACATTTGTCTTGGCATGTAATGTCAATGTGAATAGCACAGCATTATCAATAAAACAGCAAAAATCTGGAGGACAGACCTCACACCTTGTCAATTTCTTTGTTTAAGAATGAGAAATGTTATTATACATAACTGAAATCAGATCACATTATTCCCATAGAAGTCACTGGATTTGACTTCCAGTGTTCCCTATGACAACTTCCAGCACATTGGGGTACAGAATTAGCACGTGAACTGCAGTCAAGTCTGAACAGATATGGATTTAATCACTGTCTGGAGAACAGGTGATTAAATGTTATTCTGTTCTGTTTCCTGTGTGAATGTGTATGTGAATAGACTCAAATAAATTGTAAAATAGTTCAAGCTTGTGATGTTGAAGTTCTTGCCAATAATATTTCTCTGAATTTGCTGTTGACAGCAGGTAATGTCAATAGAATTAAAAGTGAAAAATCTTTATTTAAGAGAGGTGTGTCCATCAGATGCTGTTGTAATAATATTGATCACACCCACTGAGCCACTGATGTCAGTTTCTCTAACTGGTTAAACAAATAATGTTGCCTAAGTAACTGGCTCTCCTGTGCTCCATCTTAATCAATTTTCAGCATGTCTGTCATAACATAGCATACACCTGGGAGACTTGGATACTTTGACTTCATTATTCTTCATCATATTATTCAAACATGTATAACACTTAATACCTTAATCAGTATACACTGGTCGAGATTACCAGACACCCTGTATTGAGATACAGGCATGATAGAATTTGTTCAATTTTCTTCACTGTAAAGGATTTACAAAAAGCATCACATTGTGCCTCCCCTCTGCAACAGTCACACATTTGGACTTCAATTATCATTCATTCGCTTTTTAAGTACCGGCTAGATTTAACTTAATAAGGGCCATTACATTCAAATTAACTATTGAACAGATCAGAGAATGAACTGAATAAAGAACAGGTAAACATCTACTTGAGTTATCTGCACAGACTCAGCTATGTGGAAGGAGGTACCTGTATTAAGCCCATGAAGCTCTCAATCAAATACCGGTTAACCATAATCGGCACGGAAAATGTACATTACTCCTGAATTGCAAATGAAAGAGGAAGCATTGCCCTGATTTCTGTACTCAGTATCGTCTTGAGGAAACGCTGACGTGACTTTGAAACACACTGACAGTATCTGCAGCCCAGCCCTGGAGGGTGAAGAGGGGAGAGAGAGGACTGCATGGCTGGCCAACCAACCCTGCCCAGAGTTCCCCCTGACTTGGCCCAGGAGTGGGTTCCGGGCGTGGCAGGATGTGTGGGTCCATGGATCCACAGCAGTACCCCAAATTAGAGTCCGGATCTGAGCCTCAGGCCCTCTACCACACTGCTGTCTCACCCATCTCCTGGCTGGGGTGGGACAGAGGGGCACTGTAGCTGGAGTTACTGGCCAGGGAGAAGGGAGGGCTCGGCCCCCCACTGAAGACCTCCCCCGGAATGGGGTGCAGGGGTCCCGTGAGGCCCGGCTCAGGGCTAGGCGTGTCGGCGTGTGAGATCATGTCCGTGTACCTTTGGTTGTCCGAGGGGTGGTGGCCTGAGATGGGCCCTTCTAGGGGCCCCTGTCCCGAGCCAGGAAGGTAGTTGGACTCAGCGGGGGACTGGGCCTGGGAGGACGGGGGGCCATGAGGGAAGAAATCATAGTTGGCCCCAGGGCCATAGTAGTCCCCTTGGTAATCTAGAAGAAAGAGCAGAGAAGCAGAAAGCGGTTAGGCACAGTAACGGGAAGCAGTACCATGCTCCTGCTGTGGAAAGGACACATTTTGAAGCGTTAGTTTGTTTTTTCCCAGGATGGCTTAGAGGCGCAGTGGTCAGCACTGTGGCCCTGGGCTCAGTTCCTGGCGTGCTGTCAGTGTTCGCATGTTCTCCCCGAGTTCAGGTGGGTTTCCTCCAGGTTACCTCCAACCGCCCCAGGACATGCGGGTGGGTTAGTTGGCTTCTGGGAAAACTGATGTGATTGTGAGTGTCTACCCTCCTTCGATTGACTAGTGTCCCGCCCAGGCTGCACCCTGCTTGCGCCCATTGCTTGGTGGGACAGCCTCCAGCTCCCCCTGTGATCCTGAAAACAAACACACTGCCCCTGTCTAAAGAGGATGGGGCGAAGTGGAAGTCTAATGAGCTGGGTATAAATGAATAGGCAACATGAAGGGTTCTCTTTTTTGTCAGAAAATAGAAAGACAGAGAGAAAGAAAAAGAAAAAACCCATGGTGAAATATCAAAAGATGAAGTCTGGTCTGAGATGTAAGCGAATTTTAACCGGTGCCATTTCGCAGAAGTGGATACGTGTTCTGAAAACAATTCTGTTCTAACACGTATATATTTACCAGGAGAATAACGTTGAGAAAGCACAGGTGGAGCTGAGAATGAGGGCTTCCCTTTGACAGGCAGGACCCTGGGTGAGCAGAGGGCTGGGAATTGTGAGCAGGCTAATGAAAGTATCTGACATCCACAGCACAGCCCAGTGAGACAGAGTATGAGGGGGCATGCTGAGGAGGAGGCATGTTACACTGAGAGCAGGAAAGGGAGATGCCCACGTCTTTGTCATTACATCTTCCCTGCCTAGTCCCACTCTGGCACGTCCCTGTAATATTCCAGTGCCCTTAGCAAGCAAGAAGCAATGACTGCCATTTAGACCTGCGCTGTGAAAATTGACAGTTCAGAAGATTGCAGGTGAAGATGCCATCACATTGTGTGTGTCTGACAGTCCTGCATCGTCACGTGTTACTTTCAGACCTGCAAAACTTCTTGTTTCTGACCCTTTCCATGTCGTTTACATAGTGTGAGGAAATGGCACCTGACAGGAATCACACAACTATTCAGAAGAAAAAAAGAGGTGGATTTTTAATGTCAATTTTAAACTGTCAATGTTTAGTTTCCTCATAATGCTGATTAATGATTAGTCATTTTGATGTGGTGTTGTCTTACTCTAAGGCTTAGTTGCTGTTCTGTATATGCTGATATTGTTGTCAACAGCAAAGGTAGGAGAAAGGAACCTTCTTTTGGGCATAAATTAGGAATGAATAATGCATGGTAGGCCATCAATTCAGTTTCTTCGTTAAACCACAAACACCTTTTTCCTGCACCTGCAGATTTCAAGGAAGGCATGAGAAGTGCTCTGTACATTCAATCTACAGCCTTCCTACCCTCTTCCATACTGCCTCTCACACTGCCCAAAACAAAATGCCTTTGTCGAGTATTAACATGGTGAAGCTTTAGAAAATATAGCGGTCTTTACTCCAGGCTCCATTTATTCCATGGGAAAATGCCGTAGGTGACCATTTAGCCTTGATTCTGTGGTCCATAAAGAATCTAAACTAAAATGTAGAATTGATTTCACAATTATGCTATTAAACATAATCACCTTTACTTGTGTTCGGCTTGCCCGTTAAGTGTTAGAAACTGGAGAAGCCATGCCAAAGCTCTGTGTAAAGAAATCTAGGATATGTTTAGAGCCATAAAAATGAAAATTAATTTATGCACGTTGTGGACACTTCCTGATTTGTAATAGTCATTTCCTAGTGCCAACGTTTGGGTCTATACCCTACTTGCAGTAACCTATTTCCCTGACAACAAATCTAAATCATCTGACTCCCTAGCCCTAGAGATCTCATTAACTCAACCTAAATACACTATAATATAACCTATTCTTAGTTATACGCTTGTACTGGTTACCCCATAACCTAGTTCTGAAGACCTCATACCTTTGTCCTACTAGTAGTATGACTACCCTCCTAGTCCCTTGGTTCTTGTACATAATTTGCCTCCCACACCACCTACTAAAGCTCTGGACAAGATCAATGAACAGTGCTCCCCTTAAGACACAGTCAAAGATTTTACATTTTTATTGAGAAGAAGAATCAAATGTGTTAGGTGATGATTCAAAGAAATTGTTTATAGGCATTTTAAAAGGGCAACACTCATCTGAAAACTCTATGAGCTGGGGGAAGCAAGGTCTTAAGGTTACAGTTGATGTTGCCACAATATATTATAAATGCCTATCCCTTAACCCAGTGTCAACACCTGTTACATCTTGTGATGGATTCAGCATGATACCATGTGCATGCAGACCTATTTCTCTAGTACTTTTACAGTGAAAGTTCATTTATTGGTGCCTTTTATAGGGGCCACCTCTGCAAGACTTCTAAAAGATGCCATGTATGATAATAATCCTTATATTTATATAGCGCTTTTCTGGACACTCCACTCAAAGCGCTTTACAGGTCATGGGGATCCCCTCCACCAGCACCAGTGTGCAGCCCCACCTGGATGATGCGACGGCAGCCAGAGTGTACCAGAGCGCTCCCCACACCAGCTCTCAGTGGGGAGGAGAGCAGAGTGATGGAGCCCTGTATGTACCGATATAATATGAATGTCTATGTATGATATAATATAAAGCAGATGGGTTATTTTACAAAAAGCAAATGAACAAAATATCAGACAGATGGATAAGTGCCTTATCACCAAACTCTACCAGAGAAACCATCTGCAGTTACATGTGTCAATCACCAGGTTGCGCTGTCGCCTTCAGAGAAAAAAGCGGTACTTAAGGACATCTCGGTTACAGAGGGCAGTTGTTGCCAACCCTGCTCAGCTGAAGGAAGGTTTGAAGAATTGTGAGGATAAGACCTATAATAATACACTCCATGAACTGTGTGCATCCTTAATAGTCAAGGGGAAGGAAACAGGGAGTTCCATGGAATTTGTGCTGCCAGAACTCTTCTGCTGCCCTCCATCAGAGCTGGAGCAGTCAGTTCAACAGCAACTGTTACTAATATCTCCAATTTGGCCTATACTGGGGATGAATCACACCTGGACATAAAGGATGACGAATATGTATTTTTCTCACTGGAGATTAAACAGTAACAGAAAGGTATCTGAGAAAGTACGTTCAGCATAAGAGGGTTAGTGAGGGCTCCAGTGCCTGCTTACCTATCTATATATCTGTTTGTCTTTACTGATATATACCTACCCAACCTTAGACAAGAAAGCATATATGTTCTGTAACAGCTCTTTACTTATCCACCCATTTATCTCCATCTATCTCATCTATTCAATCTATTCTACCTAATTATCCATTTATGCCTCAAATATCTCCATTTTCAGCAATTCGTCTCTCCATCTCCTCACCTATCTATCTTCACACATGAAAAATGTTCACACATCACTCTTTCGCCAAGCCTGCCTGCCTATCTATCTGCCTTCGCATTAATATTTAACAGACCCCAAGACCGTTTAGGGAGCTGCAGGACTGCTCTGATTCAGTCTCAGCAGCAAGCATCATTAGTAAATGAATACATTTCATGGAAGAGAAAGACTTAAAAGTAACTACCTCTCACCCTCCTCCAATCTTCTCTAGTGCTTCCACAAAAAAAAGAGCTTCATTGGAAACCTGGACGAGAATGTTGCGAAATTTCATCTTTCCCCGTTGTAGGTGCCCATTCCGTATGCTATGTAATGACCATTTCCCGTTTAATTAATACGCTGATGTCACCAATGTTTTTGTTTTGTTAAATCTCGTTAACGAAATATTAACGGGTATTTAAAAACAGACGGCCTTGAAGGAAGTTCAAAATCTGAATTAGATTCTGCAATGGTAAAAAAAAAGTCGAGTTCAACTACCAGATGAATTGTGAGCTGCGAGAGAGGGCGTGTAAAATCTGGAATTACTATTTTACTTCAATGCGAAGTACTGGCATGCGGATTATGTCACCTTCATCATTGCCCATGCTTACACTAAATTCAGGTTACAGATTTCAGCAAAGATAGTTTCACAAAACGAATATATGTACCTCAGCACAAACGCAACCGCTGACAGTTGTTCGATGAATCCCGTTTATAGGCCAAAACCTTCTCTGAATTTTCTACCGTAAATTCTATATTTTCACTGACGAAAAAGCTCCTTGTTGTTTCAAAAAAAGAAAAACAATACATTTCAGGTATTCGTTTTGCTTTTCATTCACTCAAGGCGTAGAATGAAAACAATAAGCCGTGCCTTCCATTTACATTGACGGAGCATTAACGAAACAGGAATATTTACATATTTTAAAACAACGACAGGAGCGTATTACAATAATTATTCTCAATGTGATTAGAAGCGCCGTGGGAGAGTAGTTTGTTATTAAAATGAGTAGTATTGTTATTATTATTGCTGTCATCATCATTTTTTTAGAATCACAGCTCGTCTTTAAAATGCTTTAAATGGAATGTTAAATACCCTTTTTATACAACTGCAGCATGAGAACCGTAAAACACAACAACAACAACAACAACAACAACAACAACAATAATAATACACAGTGAACTTAATGACCGGCACCCAAGCATTCTAATTTTTGAACTCGCAAAATCCTCAAGACACATGAATATGTTTAAGAATCATTGACAAGAACACGTCAAATTACGAATTGAACCCTACTGTGTTGTGTCATAACAATCGCACATATGTTTCGATTTTCATCATACACTAAATTGTAAGCAATCGTTGGTAAGTTATAAGAAAAGCTCTCGGAAGAAATGTGTAAATTTACAATTTTACACGAAAAGATCAATTTTACAAACGAGGTTATGGTGCAATTAGCGCTGTCGACTGACTGCAGACGGTTAATAAACGCCAGGCAACGCTATAACCAATAGCAACAATTTAAAAACATGATTTTTTCACATGACAGGAATACTGGGATTAAACGACACAGTAGAGAGGTACAATACCACCTTTTTGATCTATTGCTACTTTATCCCTTGAGCTTTCAAAAAAGTATAAATTAATTAGCTAACAACTATACACTTAAACATTGTAATTTATTGTAATTTAAAAACATGACTGCGAAAAATTGGCATGAATAAAATAGAATAGCAACGTTTTCTCTCGTTCACCGAGACTTGTAGGAACAGGCAGTTGCATTGTTGAATGGGCAGTTGCGTGTGTATTATGTGTGTGTTAGGGTGAGTGTGTGTGCATGTGTGTTGTGTGTGTGTTGTGTGTGTGAGGCTCCAACAAAGCAGAAGCAGAGGAGCTCCCACTTCTCTGAAAGTGACCTTCCATATGCTAGCCAAGCTCGGATGTAATTGGAACAAATGCTTGTGAATGCTCTACAAAAGGCTGCAGCTGGATCTTTGTTCCCGAAATCCAGAAGAAAGGCCAAGGAGATGTGGGGAGCAAGGCAGAGTGCGAGGGCAGAGAAAGAGGAAAACGGGAGATGCTGAATGTCTTTGTGTGTTCGTAACCGCGGATTAGATGTCTATATTCCGTCTGAAATGCTTTTAACTGCTAATAAGCTGTTGAGGTATTTTGTCGGTTTCCTGTCTTGATATTGCTCTATCTTTAAAAAAATACGTTTTCTTTTTAAGTTTTTCCTTAAACTAACTCAATAAGTGGCGTAAATTGGATTGTTATCTATAGAAGATGAATCTGAAAAGCCAGATGTTATATTTCTTGTATTCATTTTGTCCACTGCAGGATAACCTATGATCCTGATAACTGTTTTGATTCAGAAAAACGATGGAAATCTGGGGCACTTTAGCTTCGGACTCTCAAAGGGGTACCTGCTCTTCGGGTCATCTTCCGGCATTTCGGAATTAGGCTAGTACTTCTTTACCACTCGACCATGAAAGCGGAGGAATATAATTATAATTATAATTATACATCACGGGTTTACTTATCACTAGCGGCAGAAGCATAAACGTGTGCGTTTTATTTTTGGGTTGGGGTTACTTAAAGTCCTTTAACACTCAGAAAACGGGGGTGTTGTTTTGATGACATTATGTCCTTTTTTCTTAACGTGATTTCTTTTCTTTTTCCCCCCAGCAGGGCTGCGGGCTTTGATGCAGGAGCCGAGTCGGAACCTCTGACGGAGGAGATTAGAGACACACCGACAAGCCGGGGGTGAATTCGGCCTCTGGGCTCAAGCAGATGCCGCTGAGAGGCTGGCGACGCCATGGCAACGGCCTGGGGCCCTAGCCGCAGGGTGTCCTCCTCAGGGCCCAGCCTGGGGCGGAGGCGGACAGGACAGGCCCGCGTCTTAGGCCAGATTTCAGTTGGAAAGCGAAGCCTGTCTCGGCACGCCGCTAGCCCCCTCTATGTAAAAGTATCCATCCTTATTATGAAAAGAGCTGCTCGCTCAAAATTAAAAGGTCTCCCCCCCCCCGGCAAATCAGGAGCGATGATCGCTAATCCTAAACCAATGTGTCATAATAAAGTGAAAGGTTATCAATTAAATTTGGCCCGTAACGCCCAAATCTCGTTACCTATTACAACAGCATACATTTTCAATCGCCTTCTCCAGCAAATGTGATTAGTTGGGGTTTTTTTCTTTTTAAGGTGGCGCAGTTTTCGGTCATAGTATTCCGCTCAGAGGTAATATACAGTATAAAAAGCAGGAATCTTTGCCATCCACGTTCATTATCTTTCGGTTAAACTAGAGCTTTGCATACCTTAAGAATAAAACCAAATTAATATGGTGGCTCTCTCCATAAAGGGGAGAGAAAAACAGTACATAACCCTTGGATAGAAAACACCGATTAAGCGTGAATAATGGATGATGCAATCTTTATATATTTAATGAAATAACAATTGTGTGATGTAGTGATGGTTATTTACACATTCGTGTAGGCCTAGTGTCCTGTGTACATGATAAAATGTCATATAATTTTAAAGCATTTTATATAAAGGCGGACTATTTGGATGACTTTCGAAGTTTTTGTTTTTTCTTCGATGAAACTTAAAACGATCAGGTTACGCACTGAAAACGGCATTTGAAATAGAAAAATATTAATTCCTTGATATCATTTTAACTTTTGTTTTGAACCTTAAACTTTCGGAATACTTTCGGTAACTGGATTTTTATTTCATGCTGGGGCGAACCGCCAAGAAACTCCCCATACATATTCTAGCTTTGGTAAAATGAAATTCTCATGTTTTCCAGTTTAATAAAGTTGTCTCATTATCAGTAACTTTGTGTAACTTACCGACAATGTAGGTCTCGAGAGAAGAGTTTTACAGCGATGCAAAACCAGAAAGGCCTTAATAACACCTAAATTGAATTTAGTTGAGCGTTTCCTTTATTTTTAGGGATGAAGTGATACACACCCAACAATAAAGATATTCAGCCATTCAAAAACTTCCCACGTCTATGCAGTTTTAAGCTCGCTTTAAAACAAGGCCAGCGACCGTCTCGGTCGGTGTTGGTACTAAGTTATTTTGTTTGCATAGTTATGCATGAAAAATCAAAAATCCTATTCCAACAACAACAACAACAACAATAATAATAATAATAATAATAATAATAATAATAATAATTTGGCTACTGGTTACCGCAGACCGCCACGGGGAGTAGGTCGGTGTGCGGTGTGAATGAAGGAATCTCTCTCATCAAAGACGCTAACTACAATCAAAAAGACGACGTTGAGATGTTTAATTCATGTAAACGACTTTTTATGAACCGCACCGTGTCTTCTTCTGCCACAAACTGTTTGCTGGTGGTCTTTTTTTGGGGGGGAGACGTTTAATTTGGTTAGAGTGTAGAATGGAAAATAAAGATAGAATGAGAGCTGAATGAGAGAATGAGGAATGTTCTCACTAGGAAACAATGTGTGTGTGTGTGTGTGTGGATCGGTGAGGTGTTATGGTTAGAAACCATAACAGAAAGACTTCTGTCCCGCAAATGACGTTTCCGTCCACCGGTCGTCCCGCCGGTCTAAGGCCTGTGTAACGTCAATCACACCTCTAGACACTTCCGGTTAGGGGTGGGGAGATCTGTTAGCCTCAAACGAAACATGTTCTCTTTCTGACTCTCCCCATAACCCCATGCACAACATATGTATTTCTCTGTTCAAACGAAGGGGACATTTAAAGATCTTCTATAATGTAAGGTTTACCCATACTTTAAAGCACACCAACTCCCCGGTTGAAATTATAACACGAAACAATGGCATGGTTTTCAAGTGTCGTATGCGTTCGTCTCTGCATTGAAAATTATAGGGAGAGATTTTACCTCCATAATAATTGTAAGGCCCAGATCCCATAATTTCTGTGTCTTCTAATCTGGCACCAAGAGGCCTCATTCTTCTAGGGCTCCTAAAAAATGCATGTCTCCTTGCGCCCAACGCGCTCAGCTGCTTCATTCGCCTCTCCTTCGAACGTCGATTCTGGAACCACACCTGCAATGAAATGGACAGTCAGATCTTGGCTGCCTGTGCCAATAAGGCAGCCCATCTATCTGAAGAATTTTAGAAACATTTCCAGGAATACAGTTAAGTCTCAGTTTAATGGGGTTCCTTTAACGGACTTTAGATTTTAGAGTTGACGGAGAAAATCTGTTGAAGACTGATGTTGTCTGTAAAATCAGAAATGCTAGACTTTCCCAGCAATACCAGGGACATATACAAATAATACAACAAGGAAACATAAATATTACATAGGCTAAAATTCAGGAATATCCATGGTCCCCTATAAGGACAGATCATTTGCTTACAATGGGTGTTGTTTGTATTTTTTAGCTTTTAGCCAATTTTATACAGTATATTTACACCACATGGATAAAGAACTTGTATATTAATGTTATGAAAAGGCACAGGAACCATTTTCATTGAATTTTTTGATTGGAATATTTAAAAAATAATTCAAAAGATCAAGAAAGGATATATATGACATATATATTTTTCTCATATCATGGTTGTTTATTCATAATTTAATGGACATTCAGCAATAATGAAAATCTTTCATCCCTATTAGTCCATTTGACCAAGGATTTACTGTATTGTTAAAATTCGTCTTTGATTTTTGATCATATCGTGGGGTACATTACCCTGAAATCAATTCTGTTATTAGCTTTTAGAATTATTTATAAAATGGCATTGCTGATTATCTCACTGTATTATGAAACACAAACATGTCACATGCAAAAAATGTCTAATTACAGGTGTGTGATTTTGAAGACTAAAATCAATCCAAACATTAATTGGGCATCGGCTAATAAAACAAAGAATCTCGCTGTGGTTATTGGCAAATATGTATAGAATAGGACAACATAAAAGTCTTCATTCAAAAGCATATCTTTTAGATTGGTTTTTGTCAAACCCCAGGCATTACTAAGCTTTATATTTGCCATTCAGGAATGTGCACATCCATTATTGAATTTATGGAAATAAAGATAAAAGACATTTCAAAAGTCATTTATATGTCCCTGGAATTGAAGAGCGCAACAAGAATAAAAGAATACAGACACACCAGATCAAGGATTAATTCTGAAAACTGCATTTAAACTGTGGTGAGGACTGACAATTAGATATTTAAACAATTAAATGTATAGCAGGTTGTTCAGAATTGGAAATATGACACATGTTCTGTTAGCTTTGCATAGGTCATAGTTTTACCTTTGCTTTTGTTCATGCCAAATACCTTTTTAAAACTACTCTAGAATGTATATCTGATGGGAGACCTTTTAAAGATCAAAGTACTATGGAGGCACAAGTGCTACACACACTTTGCGATTAATTTTATAAACACAAGGCAGAATTTATCAGATAGCCACCATTTCGATATACTAATCAAGACAGTTGGTAAAGTGCTTCTGTTGAGGTGTGAAAAAGTCTCACCTCGATGTGATTCTAGTGTTGAATAGGGGGCGAGAGTACTGTGTCTTCATAAGGGTAGAGGCTGGGCAAAGGAGGGGAAAGGAATGATGAAACGCTTGTTTATTCCAGCTGGTCTGGATTTGGAAGGGATCACAAGGCTGCCAGGAGCCAGGAAGAGGGCTGGAAGTGAGTGACTCAGGCCAATCCTCACATGCAGATTGCAAAGGCAACCAAATCTTCCCATGGGAAAGAAAATCTGAGGCTTCAGAAGCCAAAGTTTTAAACCTATAGAAACTTTTGCCTTTGTTCTTTTTTAAACGTTTGATCACATCTACATGAAATACATTTAGATGTTCTCCTAAGATGTCTAATAAAACCAAACAAAAGGAGAAGGAAGAAAAACAAAATGCTTCCATACCTGAGAATAAAGACGGCACTCTTACATGCACACTTTTCTACGCCCCAGTATTCTGTTACAGCTCACCCACAGCAGCATGCTGGAGCACATGACATTCAATTTCTGATAAAGCCTGTGCAATTAATACAAAAGCACAGATTCGATTGGCACATCATCAGCGGGATGGTAATTCAATTCTCTTCTGCGTCTCTGTGGCCCTCAGGTTGAAAACCCATCGAGTGTTTGTTTTCATTGTACATATTTACACACGGAAACAAACGGCAGCCTCCCGAGACAGGGGTAACAGGGGCCTGGTTTGGAAATGAAGTTTCCCAAAGCACATTTGAACACGCTTTCCCAATCACTGTGATTTCACAGCACTGCCTGGGCAAATTAAGACAGAATGAAGAGCAGCCCAGGCAGGGCTGCTCTTCGACGTGGTTGGAAATGTAGCCTGAATCACAAGGCTTGAGACTGCGCTTGTTTGGGATAGAAGCCGGAAGTGTGAGATTCAGGCACAACCCAGCTGTGCCCGAGTTTTTATCAAATTGCAAATCCTTATGGGACTTTTGCCCCTTCTCAAAGTAAAAACAAGTTTTAAAATATTCAGAATTGCTGTAGTGGTAAAGACACGATTAGAGACTTTGAATTTTATATGCAAAAGTTTTTGCTGTAGTGTCATAGAAACCCCAGACCTTTTAAAGAATTTGATGCTATGAACCTGATACCCAATGTACCAGTACATCTCAGATTGTGAAACACATCTACAGTGGTGAGAGTAAGCAGTAAAGATGTGTGGAGATACAACCTAAGAAATGAGCTGATTTGAAAAATAAATTAGCCTGTACTGCAAGAATGCTTTGTGCTTAGTTGCTGATGAGTTTGGGTTTTAAGTTTTAAGAAGCTTTGAATTAATTTGCAAGGAAAAACCATATTATTCAGACACTGTGCACCACCAGGATCTGAGGATCGCTCTTCACCTGCCTTCAGTGGCACAGCAGGGACTCTAGAGAGCGACCACCAAACTCCACAGACAGCAATTGACTCTGCTCTGGAGGAGTGTGGCTGGAGAGCAAGTGTGAGATAGCACCTAACACTTAAAACCCCATGGCACCACATTACAGCCACACGAGCCATTGGATGAGCAGTGAAATCCATACATATCAAACTGTGCACCTCTGCAAACACTGGCCTCCTTGAAAACTGAAACAACAACACCGAAGGCAGTGCTGTAGACATATTCTGCAGGAAAATACGAAAGGGCAGGACTTAAGAAACTGGTTTTGCATTTTAGAAGATACCTACGGGATATCTGACATGTAGAATAAAGTGGGACGCTTCTGTTATTAACTGTTCTCCCTGAAGGTGTTGTTCTCTTAAGTAGAACAGTGATTTTGCATGTTACCAAGGTGTGATAAGATTCAGCTGAATGCCCAAAGCAAACTTAATCGGACAAATTTTATTGTATTAGATTATTCGTGTAGAATGATTCAGTTAGAACTTCATCAATAACTGGCTAATTTCAATGCTCATTATGTGCTCTGACACTTCAAACCAAAAAGGTAATTCAGCTGTTTATATGCATCACACATATAGACCATGAGCATGTGCAGACTTGAGCTTTTTGAGTCCCCCAGCAAAGTACAGGAATTGGAAGACTGAATAAGTGTTGGCCCTTTCATTCCATGGTAGGATGCAAGGAAGAGACTTCATTTTAGAGAGTTGGTCGACTCAATGCAGAAACCACAGTAAAAACCTGGATATCCAGATGATTTACAGAGAACATTGGAAGCTTCTGTTTTCTGTGTGTGCTGCTCAGTCTCCTCCAGGCGTAAATAAGTATTACTTTGCTTTCAGATGACATTTCAAATTATTTATGTGCAATAGAACAGTGAGCAGAGCTGCTGGCACCTTAAACCTAAGCAAGAGTCTCTCTCAATGGTAGCTGAGATGTCATGGGCAAGCTGGTGAATAACCTCACAAAGGAAGTGTCCAGCGCATAACTGAGATCTGACAAGAGCGAACAACAAAGTGCCTCATTTAACCCAGCCTGGATGCTGGCTGTGCTGGTACACTTATCAGCAGGAGCCAGCAGAGCTTCCCATGTGTGCTGTGCCAGACCAAGGAGCTGGCCAGTGTGGTGTTGCCTGCAGTCAGGGTGCACCCTGAGGGCACCAGCTCCCTGTGTACAGCATCGCCTTTAAGAGCAATCACACCGGAAACTGGCGCCATGCGATTTGAAACACCTGTGCACTGAGAGGCACAGCAAGCCCACAGAGCCAACTTTGCTGCTAATGAATGTAGACAGCATTACAAATAAGAAGTCAAGCTGAAACAACAACAGAGAATCACACAGTACCAGAGTGGATAATAAAGTACGGTACTAGAACTAAATAAAACAAGATCACACGATCTGCCTACTAAAGACAACGTTCCGTACTACTGGGCATAAACACTGCTGGTGTGGGGACCGGTACGTGGTGGCAGAAAGAACACTAGATCAATTACTGAAGAGTCGTGTGGTCAAATCCCAAAGTGGGCACCACTGTTGTATCCTTGACTTGAGACCTTTATCCTGATTTGCTCTGCCAAAGGTACCAGCACAGCTGCAAGGTTGTTCTGCATTAGTCTCCAGTTTCATTCAGGAAGAGTCTTGTAAGTTTTTTTTAACACAAAAGAAAATCAGCGCCCGACAAAACCAGTCTGAACAGCATTTTTAACACAGATCCTGTGAGGAATTATTCTACAAGTGCAAAAAGATAAATATAACACAAAAACAACTAAAAATGCTCACAGATCACTAGAGCTCATAGCTCATTTGCAAGGAAATTTGTCATTTAAACATTGTCACTCTCTGAAACATTTTTGACAGGCGCTCCACTTTTTCAAGGGAAAGAATGTCTCCTGCCTTAGGATTCCAATTCCTTTCAAAACAGCATCTTAAAGGACAAATTTAAAGAAACAATGAATTAACAAGCACTCCATCTGAAGTAGCGGTATTTGTCTTTAATTTCTAAAAGCACAGGGTCTTCTCTAGGTCACAACAAATATTTAAGAACAAAATACTGGTATAGCTTCATTTTAGTCTGGACTCCAAAAATTATCATCAAAGAATTTGCAGACAGAACAGTGGCCACAGAAGAAAAGTATAAATCTAGCAAGAATTCAACAACAGTCAAAATGTTAC